ACCCTTCACACAAATTAAGGAGAAAATGGTTTTTGTAAAACATTTACCAAATCAAAGTTTTTATTGTACGATTATTACTCCCTCCGTCCCCAATTTGATTACAAATTTTTTTTCTCTCTCCTCTCGATAACTTTTGTTTGTTTACGCGATTTCATCAAGTATTTGATAAAATAAAATATTCTTGTCACCTCTTATTTTGTAGAACTTTTGACGTAGTTTTTTAATATGTAATTTTTATAACTTATTGATATACCAATTTGTAAATAAAATGATTTCAAAAAGTAGGAAATTTTACTCCGTAACCCGCAATTTGTAATTAAATTGGGGACGGAGGGAGTATTTTATTGAAACTTTTGGTTATTTGTACGTTTTCATTTACTATTTGATAAAATAAAATATTTTTGTCTACATTTATTTTGAAGAAAAATAAATCCTATTTTACTCGATTTATATTATAACTAGATATACATTTTCCATAATTCGTGATTATTTACGGTACCACACGTCACACAAATTAAGGAGAAAATGGGTTTTGTAAAAGTTTTACTAATACAAATATTTTATTTTATTATTTTACATGTTTTCCAATACTATCTCTTCCGCAAAAGGAATGTCACAGTTCATTATTCCGAAAATACATGAACTTTTTGTAAAATATACGGAGTATTAATTATTTAATATATTTAATATTATATATTATAATTATGGTTGTTACCTATTATAGTTAGAGTTATTATTATACTCCGTATAATATTACCTTATATAATTAGCCATTAATGTGGAGGATTCTAGAATATATTCCTCCACCTATAAATACATTCTTTGTATTCCTCTTCTATTATTCAATCAATAAAACATAATTTATTATTTTTACATGGTATCAGAGCCACCGTTCTTGGTGACCTAAATTTCTCCGCTTTCACTTCTGGCGGGCGGCACCGCCATTAACCGCCGCCCGCCGGATCACTGTTTTCCTCTGATCCAAATTCTTCACCATCTCCTGAAACTACAAAGTTTTCTAGTTTTTTGTTGTCCGACGACTTTAAAAAAAGAAGAGGTCTAAATCAATTCCTACTCCACCAAACTACCAGCATCTCCTAGCGCCAAGATTGCACCTGTTCACTCGAGAGTAACATGAGGCACAATTGGTGGGTAGATCTTCGGTCAACATGCATCTCCGGCAGTACCTCATTCTTTATGTTTCTTCTCTAACCCAGCCGTGCACGACTCCAGCGCGCGTCAACCTTCTCCCTCTTTCGACGTCAGCAACATGAGTCTGTTCGCAGCGGCTTTTCTCCTCTCCTCATCAGCGCCTTCACATCTCTTTCCTGGCAATCTTTCTTCGATCTTCTCTTCTAGGCCGGATGCATTCAATCTACTCTAGCCGAAGATATGCCTCTAGCTTCTGATTACAATTCTGATCACGATTCAAGTAAAGTTGGCGTTCAATCTTCACCGTTCAGGACGTTGGGAGCATGTAAAATATATTAATTATTTAATATATTTAATATTATATATTATAATTATGGTTGTTACCTATTATAGTTAGAGTTATTATTATATAATATTACCTTATATAATTAGCCATTAATTTGGAGGATTCTAGAATATATTCCTCCACCTATAAATACATTCTTTGTATTTCTCTTCTATTATTCAATCAATAAAACATAATTTATTATTTTTACACTTTTGTTTATTTATATGTTTTCATTGACTATTTGATAAAATAATACTACCTCCGTCCCACTCTCTTTGTCCACATTTGACTTTTGGAACTGTTCATCTAAGCATTTTGACTCATCAAATTCTTTCAATGTGTAAGCCTAAATATAGTCATGTGTGATCTTGTTTGATTTGTCTTAACATTTAGATTATTAATATATAATTTCTATAATTTTTTAATATACAAATTACAAGATAAAATGGATTAAAGAAGTGCATTGGATGGTGTGCAAAAAGGTAACTGGACAAAGAGAGTGGGACGCATGGAGTATATTCTTATTACTACTTATTTTGAAAATCTTTTAGCTAGTTTTAAATATGTAAATTTTATTTTTTATTTTTACATCAATCTTTAAATTAATTAAATTTAAAAAAATAAAAAATTTCACTTTATTTTGCATAATGCGGCAAATATTTTGAGATGGAGTATATCTTAATATCTTGATCGTTGATGTTATTAACTATAATCCTTGCTCCATCCCAAATAATTTGCTCGTTCATTTGTTTTTCACATGTATTGTTTAAAAAAATAAAATTATATGGTTCAGACTATTGAATTTCACGCACCGAGTAGAACATAATTTGATGATAAGTCACTTTTATTATACGGCCCGGTTCCAATGCCACTGGAATCCGGTGCCACTAGAGGTGCCACTGGCATTTTGGGGCACCTCCGGTGCTCCGTTCGCAAAATTGACGGTTCCT